TCTTAGATAGAGATACCTTAGTGACAACGTCATGTGCTGCCCAATGTACTACCCTAGTACCCGTGGAGGTAGCCTTGACGGTGGAGTCGTCTCCAAGCGAAATGTTGACGTTGCAGGGTTGCTTGTTATGCAGTTGTTCAATGTCCGGGGTCATATGCGAGGTAGTTCCCGAGTCCAGCATCAACTGGTCGACTTTAGATGCTTTGCTGTCCTTCGTGATCGCCATTGCCAAGCGAACATGTGCATTGGTCTTCTTTCGTGTGTCCCTGCTAGCCTGTCGCGAAGTGCTCTGATTTGAAGTAGGTCTGTTCTGTCCTTTTTCACCAACGTTAAGACGATTGTGTGGATTTTCAGGATTCTGAAAACACCTAGCAGTCGAGTGGTTGGACTTTCTACAGTTGGAGCATTGTTGTTTTGCAACTCCGGCCACAGTGAGTCGTTCATTGCTGCAACCCTCCCTCTTGATAATCATGTGCTCTTCAATGATGCGAGCCGTGACAGATTCCCATGTTGCGTTTCTGTCAGCAAGGGTCTTGATAGCCGCGGTCACTGGTGCCATCTCTGCCACATCGATTGAAGAGATGAGCAATGCAATAGCCAGCTCGTCTGGCATCTTCGTGTTCATGCTCTCCAGTTGTTCCAGAAGAGCTGCCATTTCATCAATGTGCGACCCAATGTTTCTGCGTAGGCTAGTGTAGCGTAAAGACATCAGCTCAGTCATCCGAGAGATTCGGGTAGCTGTAGACTTCGAATCATACCGTTCATCTAGCTTCGAAATCATTCGGAAAGGGTTTCCAACATCGGAGCGTATTACGCGAAGTGATTTGTCAGTCACAGCGTGGATTATAATGTTGCTTGCTCTGCGCTGCATGCTCTGAAATGTAACCAACGCAGTCCTATCAGGTGCAGTTTCATTGACAAGTGCAACCTGGACGTCTTTTGCTTCGCAAGCGGCTTCAAGGCGGATCTTCCCAAGTCGGTAGTCGTCCTTCTCCTCTAAGGGTTTAATTCGAGGACGATCTTGATCAGACATGTTGAGAGTCCAACTGCGTACTGGTAAACGCGAAAGCTGCAGGACCACGAAAATTGAAACGATTGTGAACGAATAGCGCAGGTTAGAGATTACTGGGCCCCATAACCTTTCAAACTTTGTTCGTTGTCTTTATTTTTCTAGCGTCTCCGCACGAAGACCGTTTTATATTGCACTTCATGTGCAGTTGCGGTGGCATCGCGTTCTAGTTCATGTCAGGTAGTCGGCCTCAATTCCGCTGAATTGAGGCGATCAGTACTGTAGCATAATATATACGGGCCATTGACTACGGGTCCGAATATACTGAAAGTTATTTCCTATGCTTGTCACCACAGTAGACTGCTACCTCGTTACGTGGTTCTTTCATAGAACCGGAGTAGAGGAGTTGAGGTCTAGAACTGTGCTGTCAATAGAGTTGAAGAAGTGAGCCTTGTACTATTGCTGGAGATCCTTCTGCGACAGAGGTCAGAATTCGTTCCTCGTGCGTGTCTACATTGAAAGACACAACAGTGCAATCGCTTAACACGAGACTGTGCCATAAACCAAAGGCGACTTTTCAGTACAGTTAACGGTACAACGACAAGCTGTACCTTTGCATATGGCGAGCGAAAGAGCGTAAATCCAACCTCCACCTTCTGACCATAACCCCGGTGCGAGCACACCACCCCAATTGAGAAGGGTTTCTCTGGATCTGACGCTTATCATAGTCATGGAACAGGCATCGAGAGCGATTGAGATTCCCGAATGCACCCAAATAAGTCTTCGCTCATTATCATTAGCAGAAAGTTTCTAGAACACGTGTCATCTGCCTTCACCTTAGGCTTCCCGCCTGAATGAAATACGATGAGAAACACAAGAATTCAACAAAAAAAAACAGTCTCCCGTTACCCCTATTTCGTTTACTCACATTTTCATTTTGTACACACATTATGTTCTTCATGAATTCGCTACTGATGTCTGTACTGCAACCGCCGTCCTGCAGCATGAGTTTTCGAAGCCTCTCATTCATTCAATCTTTTCCTCTCCTCAAGATCATTATGAGGAATGATTTCCCATTTCATTTACACGACAGAGAGAAAAGGCGCAACATTCTTCTTGTCTCTTGAGCTTAGAAAGAGCTTTGCTTTGCTGCAGTGCTTCACGTTACAGTCTTGACATAGGAAATGTTTTCGAAAATACGTGGGTCGGATACAAGAATAGGAGAACGAATACTGCTCTCTTCTCTCAAGTGCAGCACAACGTGCACTTCTAAGCCATGAATTGCATTCAGTCCTTGAAATTTTATGAAGAAAGTTTTATCAGGTGACTTTCTCCTGTCGCTTTTCATGATTTGGCAGATAACGTGCTGGTAATTGTATGTAAGTTACCTACACATGTTTGGCTTAGTTTTACATTGCAGAAGACGGTCTGAAATATCACTCTTTCTATATTCCGAACCTTACAAAATGTCCGGGAAAGTTTCTAACTCTATGCATTCCAACTGATTTATGACAAGCAATAGCAATAATAACTGGATCATTTAAGGAACAAAAATACACGCAGGTTGTGTACTCTCATTGAATTTTCATGATGCGCGGCGCCCGGGAAGCAAGCATCCTCAGATATCTGTTACCCGCTATCCTTTCAAAAGTTCAAGAGACTCAAAAAAAGTAATAATCAATGAAGATGAATGTCATTTTTCAGAGAAAATTACCAATGATCCGCAACTCAGGTTTTTACGGATTCACCCATGCTCGTTACCTTTTCAAGTAAGGCACTCGAGACATACTGTACCAGAGGTTTCTTATCGGAGGTTTCTTCATTCTATTATTTTCTCAGAATGGAACTGTGTATAAATATGTGATATGTGCTCGAACCGCTCATCTATGCTCACCCACCAACATAGCGAAGAAGATCAAACATAAATTGTTCGGACCAAAGAAGAAGAAAATGAAACCGTTTTCCTTTTCCAAGGCCGTGATCATGTTTCTGGTGATTCTTAGTGCAAATTGCGCAGGAGCGCAAAGGTGTACTTTCTATGATGGCAGTCGTCGTATCCGAGGAATTTGTGCACCAAGTTCTGTCTGTTACAGTTTTCTCGAGGGAAGACGTTTCAGCCAATCGGGGTGCGACGGAACGGGATGTTGTGAAGCTCCGCTCAGAAGATGCAAAGGCGAAGGCAGACGCGGAGTCTGTAACATCGCAAGCTTGTGCAGGCCTGGAAACATACTTGGTCCTTGTGGTCGTGCCCCTTCTCTAGTCGTTTGCTGCAGAAACGGACCTTCCGGTGCGTAGGACATTTAAGAAGAAGAAAGACGGCTGTTTCGATGTTACCCGATTCTTGAAGGCATCGATTCCAACAGATGAGATAGAGCTTAGTGTGTCAAGGGCTTCTAGTGCGAAGCACCGTCATCCGGCGCAATGGAATAATTTGCTAATACGCCTGAGCTTATGAGCTGGCGCGCTAGCCGGTAAGAGTTCTGAGCAACGATACCTCAGCCAAAGTAGTGAAAAGGTAAATGTGAAGTGTATGGTTGTTTCTAGTTCTTCTTGGTAAGGACCGAATCCAACATGCATGTTTTGTGTTCTACATTTAAATCTCTTTCCCCAATAGCTTTCGTATGAAGGTGAAACTTCCTCTGTTCAAATGCATCAGTGAGAGAGAGCTAGAGAAGAGGACTGTAATTGAGAGAAATACTGTCTGAGAGAAGCGTGAACTTGCTAGAAGGATCGAAAGCATATGTACAGGATCAGAAGCATCTTTTCCATTGAAGAAGTTTTGCCCTTGCAAACTGAAGCAAGGTGTAGATGCTTTGTTGTGCATCATGTCATTCGAAAACGTATGAGTATATCGAGCTGTTAGTATTCAAGGTCAGGAGCCAGCAATTATCCAGCCGGCAGTCTTCGACACTGCCATGTCTTGGTTGCTTCCTCGTTCGAGAATTTACTATATCCCGTGTGCGCTACAGGTTCAAATATTTGCTCTTCGGTGAGGCTTCTTTTGATTATTCGCGATAACGGTGTAGCCCTTGCCACGGCACAAGAAATGCTACAGGAACGTCTAGAACACAGAGTCATTGGGTTTCTATTCACTGTTAGCCCTCATCTTTACACATCGAAAAAACCTTTAAATTCATGGTAATTTACTCGGTTTCTTCACATTTCAGGGCGTGTTTCCTTTCATCACCACCATAAAGCTTCTTCACCCGAATTTAGGAAGACTTGGGTTCGGGGGGACTTGAGATCCCTACTGTTATGATTAAAGGGAGGGAGAAAGATAAGAATCCGTCTCGTGTGGGTTTGATGGGGCAATGCATAGGTAGGCAAGTCGCGCGTGAGCGCAAGGGCGTAATAATGCCATGAAAGTGCGGAAGTTTCCCACTTCCAAGTGCGAATACTCGCGATGTGCAAAGGAATTTTTAGCGCGATGATGATGCTCCGCTCCTCGTTCAAAGTGAACCCCAAACTTGACACACAGGTCAGAGGACACGTCCTCAACGGCCCTGTGCACTTGAATTAGAACTAGCATCTCATGCGTCGAACTGCTGCGCTGTGGAAGTTTGTGATCACTATAGCGATTTATAAAATCTGGCACTAGGGATATTTTCAACCTCTCAAAAAGCAGTTGCAGTTCTTCCTAGAATGTGGTGATTCCTTCATATGACTCCCAGTCATTCCTCTCTCCCGTCGTTGGCCAACGGCACCTCCCCTTTTGCTCAGTGGTTATCATTCCCTGCATGACAGGTTATGGGCCTCATTCTACTGCTGCGCACGCGAGTTCGAATCCCACCGTACACCTCCTTCCCACACTACCCAATCACAAGCTCACACGTCAACCACCCGACGTTGTTAGAAGCAACCCCTCACAAGCTCACACGTCAACCACCCGACGTCGTTAGAAGCTACCTCTCACAAGCTCACACGTCAACCACCCGACGTCGTTAGAAGCAACCTCTCACAAGCCGACACGTCTCACACCCGACGTATTCACATGACGCCGAAAACCCATTTTCATCAGGTTTCAAGGTCCACCCCGCACTGTAAGACGTCATCAACACGCATCAAAAACCTTCAGGTTCAGGGTAAACCTGCGCTCATACTTTCAAGTTAATCCGGCAATCCTTCTCATTCAGTCACTCACATACGAGTTCAGGGGGACTGTGGTGATTCCTTCAACTCATTCATTGAACTCGTCTGCTCATTCCCACTTTGCGATGCTTCCTTCTCTGCTGATTCCTTCATATGACTCCCAGTCATTCCTCTCTCCCGTCGTTGGCCAACGGCACCTCCCCTTTTGCTCAGTGGTTATCATTCCCTGCATGACATAGAACAAATTAAAAAGGGCAAATTTGAGCTGGCAGTTTGTATTGTGGTTTAATGAAGTCATTTTCAAAGTATTCATGTTCACAAGACTAGGGTTATTGCGATTGCACTGTTGTATCTATCAATGTAGAAACGCACGAGGAACGACCTCAAAAACACTATTTTCAAATTTCATTATCAGCTCTTGAGGTTTTGAGGTGAGCTCAAAAAACGCTTCTGCTCTGTTCTCTGCCCTCAACTGCAAGCTATTCCTCTCGCTTTTTGCCGTGAAACTGCGAGGAGTGCTGTATTTTACTTCGCAGAAAATCTTACCACACATTTACTGTACTACTATACCTTAGTTGCCCATAACCGGAGTACAATACTGTGACAGAGCGCAAAAGTATACTACGTACTACTGTGGAAGAAGTGACAGGTGGAGCGCCACCAGAACGACAGTGAGTAGCACGAAGCTGTGTCTCCAGCACAATCCCGTGCCCAGCAAAGTAGTACAAGTAGAGACAGAGGAAAAGGCATGAGTAAAGGGTCACCGGATTCCTAGCTTTCACATACTGTACATACCAAGCTTCCAGCAGTCGATCTCAACAGCCGCGACATGAAGCCTGTACTTTCTTGGGGGTCCTTCTCCTTAGACCTGAGGCATCGAAAAAAACGACCCCTACGCTGTGCAGTTGTCCATAGGGTATTTCCATGGCGTGTTGCCAAGGACAAACAAGAAAACAAAACTCCCATACTCGTGTGTGGACGGAAGTCTTCAGGAAAACCACAGTACCAACAATACGATTGCTCCCTGAAACGGGGTTTTGGCGAAAATAGTGGAGATCGAGTCATTGTAGCCAGTTCCGTAAGTGTAGGACTCGTGCATACTCCACCGACAGTGTGAATCCCGATCGATCCAAATATAGCTCTTCCATATCACACACTACACCACTCTCTGCCTAGTGTATCGTTAAGGTCGTAATGAGCACATTTCAGGACTTGCGCCCGCGATGCATAAAGCGAAATAAAGGGTACGCAAGAGAAACATGATCTACACCTTCAAGACCTGCGTCTGAATGGAATGCATGAAAAGCCACTATAGTCAATGAATGCTGCCACGCATAAGCCGCACTAACCCCTCCGTCTGCTTCCATGTCTACGGGTATTACAGGCAGATTTCGCCTCAATATCTCGCCTCGCTACCCTCGCCTCCTATCCGTTTACCGGCGAAGCGAAGGTGGTACTGACTTCCCTTGCTTCCAATGCAATTCTCTACTTGTAAACGTACACCATCTCTAATGCCGTCTTCGTGGTAGCCATCACTTCTAGTTGGACTAAGACTGTAATCGCAGTCTCCGTTACCAATCATGAAATAAAAAGAAGAAGAAAAAAAGATTGAACTCGACCCTTACCAGAGTTGCAGACCTGCGATGCACGCCACATATCCCATTGACGCATGCACCGCTGAAACTCAAAACGAAGAGCGCTTCTTCTCAAACGGAATTTCCTCTCATCTCCGAAGGCAGCCACGAAGCAGCGAACATGCACTCTTGCACATACAAAAAGTCGCGATTTCTGGAATTATCCTCAGAAACGCTACAAATGCAACCTCATAAGATGTTCCTTCCTGAGTGTAATTTGCGGTAAAATCATCTTGATAGTCAAGGAATCCGGGATCGTTTTCCTTTACAAGATGATTTTATCGCAAATTACACTCAGGAAGGTTCATAATAAGAGCAGATACCTAGCTTCCAGTAATGACGACTGATCTCCTGGCCCCAGTTGATGGCACAGAGGAAACATTGCCGCCGATTCCTGTCTCCTCCTTTTTCTGTTCGATCGGTCGAAGGGTGGGGAGATCGGAACGGATCGCTCTCCCGTTTTCGGCGAAGAGCACCGGGAGATCGGAGAGAGCCTCTCTTGTCATCTACTGCCCCACTCTCATCATCTTGTTCATTTTCGACGCCTCAGTCCCGCATAACGCACAAAGTACACACGTTGCCCGAATGGCATGTCGTCGTTCCCGACACACCTTCCTCAATAGCCAATCGTATCATCTGATCTCTAGGTTCTCGTAAAATTCATGGCTGGAAAACTATCACCCACCATTAATATCCAAGGGTATCGTACTGTGCAGTACATATTTCTATTTCAAATATCGCACTCATGAGCATGCAGCTGCCTCACGTTTTATTTATGAGTTAATTGCCAAAAGGTTCACAGTTGGCAGAGCCCCCAACCACAGAAGGTTGGAGCTTGTACCTCGTATCTCTGTGTCTTCCTGCGTTCGCTACATGAAGTCGCACACGTGCATAATGCAAGAGTACAATGCAATTTTTCCACTTCCGGAAACATTCGGAAGAGAAGAGCAGGATTGCTAAAGAAACACAACTGCACCCTAGCAAATCGGTGCAGCAGTCATGATGCTCAAACGCCATTATTGTTTCCCCACGTACCAATGAACCCTGCATCAGATCCATCTTCTCCTCCAATAGCTCTTTCAATTTCATGGTAGGGCGCGGGTTTGGAGGGAAGGGATGGTTGGTGTCTCTGGATGTCTTCTCGTAAGACGGAGAAAGACAACAGAGACGGCACGCCTTGTAGGACGGAGACGCGGCGAGAGACGGAGCGAGGCGCGCTTCGGTCTACTCGACCTCCCGTAGAACACGGGGGAGTGGCGATGACTTCGCGTTGCGTTGTGCATCAACCTTACTGATGTGATGATCATGTTCCCCCCGATGTGAGAGAGAATGAGGGATCGACTTCTATTCCTTCTTGAAGCTCGCCTTCTCACCGACAGAGCAGCATATCACAGACAGTACGCGACACAGACAGTACGCGATGTAGACTTGTCTCACGGCTAACAAAAATTGGTAAATTATCCCAAAGGGGATAACATGCGATCTCAACACAGTGCGACAGCGCCAGCGACACACAGTACGTCGCGAAACGCAACGAACACGCTCCTGTATGTGTAGTGATACAAGAGGGGGGGAGTTGCGATATAAGAGCACTTTGAATAAGAACGACCTCGCAGTAAGACCACCATTTTTGCTTGGCACGGAATCATAACTTCAAGCACCATCAAACAATGTAATGCCAAGCACACAGGCCCTTTCTCGGCTGGTATTTCAAATGCATCTTAGAAGTCCCCCCCCACAGCCCGCCTGTTCCATTTCTCCGACCAACGGATCATTACGGTGCTCCGAAATGACCCGTCACTTTCCACCGGTGGCTCACGGCTCGCTGAAGAGGCGCAAGTGTGGCTTTCGTGGAAAGAGAAAGCCGAGGCTGCGCGTTGTCTTCAAAAAGGCGAGAGCGCCTCTTCTGTGGTGAAGCGTTTTGGAATTGGTCGCACCACAGTTACAAAAGTTGGCAACTGCTTACTGGTGAGATTCTGCAGCGTGCTAAGGAGTACAATGGGCATCCTGTGCGAGATTTTTGAATAGCAGCAACCTCAGATTAAGAGCAGTATGAAGGGGTTGGCACTGGGGGCTCTTATATCGTGGTACTCCCTGTATTGTGGATCATGCCCAGTTCTCCCAATCTTCCAGAACACTACCCTTCTCACTGGGGTATTGTGGAACACTTTCCGTGTTCTTAGGCATCGTCAAAAGTCTGTAAAGTTTCCCTGATTTTCCTGGCAAAACTTTATGTGCGATAAATGGCTCATGAGCGGCGGGGGAACTACGGAAAACCCGGCAAAGCCCATACTTTGTGTGCCTCAACGCATTCTCGAAAGATGAAGTAGACCACGTGCAGCCACATGGGTCTGCTCCGGACCGTCATCGTTCTGGCCACTTCATGCCCGCCTAGTTTTGTGTCTACGCAAATATGCCACAGGTCTATTGTCGCTTGAGCTCCCGTCAATCTCTAAGCTATCTGATACCACTCTTCGTGGAACATTGGGATGTTTATTTTCTTTCTCAATCTCCATCGTTGATGTAAAGGTAGCCAAGGGGGTTTTGGGCGCTCCCGCATGTGTTTCCATATCCGTAGCCAGTCCGCAGTCATTCATGGTTTCACTGCACGTGGGTGATCGATTCGTGAGAAGCAGTGCAGACTTGGGCTCAACACTGAACCTTCTTCGGTTTATTTTGCTGCTCGCTCGCGGTGAAGGGCAAATCGCGTGAGACAGTATATTGTTCACAACGTAGGAAATTTTCATCAAAACAGCAATTTCACCCAATGCACATGTTGCCATCATGCCGCTGTTCAGTATTGTTTTGATTCGGTCGGTCAAAACACACGCAGCTTGTCTACGGGGATAATTTGAAGCCTTCTATACCCCAAAAGTGTCTGTTTGCGGCTCATGTGCATCTAGTAAGTGTGTTGGAGATGACCCAGGAGGGGCATTATCGAACCTTTTCATGAATTGAAAATTCATAGGCCATATGCCTGCTTATTGAAATGATTTTCTTGCCACATCTGAGGTCACGGCTTCGTGTCCCGCACTTGTAAGCTTTACCGTCATTGCAGTATTCGTGCAGGAGAAGTGAATTATTGCCAACAGCTGGTCCCTTGTCCTCTTGATATCCCTTTGGAACGCCTGATTTGCTGATTGGTCGCATGGTTGCAGGATATGTGTAGTGTTGGCTGGAAGTTTAACGGTTATGATATTTCGGCTTTTTCATTCAGTTATCCATTCCTGACTCTTGTAGCATAAACACCCCCAACGGCGGAGAGGTGTTGCTAACAGTCCGATGGCCCTTGATGGGCGCAAGACGGGGGACTCTTCCTGCTCACGGAACTGGGCACGGGCCCGGTAGCAGTGTGGTAGAGCGGTCGGGTTAGGCCGCGCGCATGCACGAGCGGATCGACGTCTCAACGCCCCGGAGCAGCGCTGGGTGACGTACCAATGCCGACGCGCGGAAGCGGATGCCGGCTTGCTCGCGTATCGTGCAACCCGACTCGTGCCGGTCCCCAACTAAAAAGGCGTGCGAAGGCGCCCCCTAATTAGAGGAAGCTGGAGGGTTTCGCCGCGGTCGTGGAT